CAGATTTAGAATCTACAAAAAAAGGTTGTAGCACCAAACACTCGTCCAAAAAATCAGTAGGCAAATAACAATGTGCGTAGATACAAAAAAATACAAGGATAGTGGTACAACTTTTTTGCACATATTTTTGTGACCTCTGAGCAATAAATGAAATAAGCCTTTTGAGCTGAATTTGGACGAGTGCGGATCTCTTTCATCTTTTCATCAGATTTGGAGAAATGTAGCATTACATCACTTGCTCAGCAATGGATCCTCTGCAGTGAATGGGTGCCGTCAGTCCAAACAGCTGATAAAAACATCACAATAATCCACAAGTAATCCACACCACTCCAGCCCATCAGTTAATGTCTTGTGAAGTGAAAAGCTGTGTGTTTGTGACAAACAAATCCATCATTCATCACACTTTAAACTGTTGCTTCTGGCCAAAATTCATTCTATATTCATACGATTGCTTTCGCTAGTGAAAATGTTGTCTCTGCTGAATTAGGAGAGAAATATGCACAGATTAAGTACTGTTTATTAGAAAATCAGTCAAAAACAGTTCTAAACAAATATGTGGGTTTATTTTTATGTGAGAGGACAACTGGGGATGGACTTTTTTCACTGCAGGAAGTGTTATTATGGATTATATACTGTTATTTAAATGCATTAATGATAGATATGTTTGTTACAAACACGCAGCTTTTCACTTCACAATATGTTAACTGATGGACTGGAGTGGTGTGGATTACTTGTGGATTATTGTGATGCTTTTATCAGCTGTTTGGACTCTCATTCTGACGGCACCCATTCACTGCAGAGGATCCATTGCTGAGCAAGTGATGCAATACTACATTTCTCCAAATCTGTTCACATGAAGAAAAAACTTGGATGACCTGAGTGTGAGTACATTTTCAGTACATTTTCATTTTTGGGTGAACTATTCCTTTAAGGTGAGGGTTTAAGGTAGGGTTGGGGATAGCTAGTTTTGTTTAAGTATTATATAGGCAATGAATAGGCTACCATCTTTTACATGAGCAGTGACATCTTTAGAATCGGGTTTGCAATTAACAGCTAGTATATTCCCATTCATATTTACATTTTGTCACACCAGGGTGACTATGAACATCAAATTGTCCAGCCATGACTTCCTGTTCCACAGGATTCTAAATATGAGGAACACAAAGGCCAAATTCCTTAATCATCCATCACAATGAGAAAAACCAAAGAATAGTTCTGATGTGCAAAACAAGATTGTTGAGCTTCACAAAATAGAAAGTGGCAGTAAGAAAATATCTAATGTATTAAGAATTCCCATTTCAGCCATCAGGGCAATAACCAAGAATTTTCAATTAACAGAAAATGGTACAAATCTGCCTGGAAGAGGACGTGTGTCTATATCATGCTAATGCACGGTGAAGAGGAGAGTCTAGTAAAAGACTCCCCAAGGATCACAGCTGAAGAACTGCAGAAAATAGTTGAGTCTAAAAAATATATCAAACAAACCCTACATCACCACATGTTGTTTTGGAGGGTTTCAAGAAAAAAAAAATCAAGAAAAGAAAACACTCTCATCCAAAAACAAACTCCAGCATATTCATTTGCCAGACTATACTGGAACTTCAAACGGGACTGGTTTCTATGGTCAGATGAAACTAAAACAGCTTTTTGGCAGCAAACACTCAAGATGGGTTTGGTGCACATGCACAGAGATAAAAAGTACCCCATGCATACAATGTAAATATACTGCTGCATCTTTTTATGTTGTGGGCCTATTTTTCTCCGGCAGGTTCATCTTGTTCAGATGCATGGCTTCATGGATTCTATCAAATAGCAACAGATAAAAAATCGAAATCTGACTGCCCCTGCTAGAAATCTTATAACGGGCAGTGGCTGGATCTTCCATCAGGACTACAATCCAAAGAAGAAATAAAAAATATATAAAAATAAAAATCAACAGCACAAAACGAAGCTTCTGGCCTGAACCCTATAGAAAATGAGTGGGTTGAACTGAAGATGCGAGTGCATGAACATGGACCTCAGAATTGGAAAGATCTGGGGAGATTCTGTATAGAAATATGGTCTCTGATCTCTTGTCATATGTTCTCTAAACTCATCAGGCATTATAGGAGAGAATCATAGCTGTTTTCTTGGCAAATAGAGGTTTCAAGATAGTATTGAACATAAGGGTGTCAATAATTGTGGCCAACGTGTATTTGAGATTGCTTTTTCAATTGTTTTAAGTGAAAGGTTAGGTTTTTGTGATTTCTTTAAATAAAAGATCAAAATGATTAACAATGCAGACACAGACTTATTTGTTAATATTTACCAAGGGTGTCAATAATTCTGGCCATATATATAAATACATATACATACATACACACACACACACACACACACACACACATACTGAATTGTAAAAAAAATAATAATAATACTACTAATAATAAACTTATTACAGAAGGTGTTTGTCAAGCTTTTTCTGAAAATGAACTCCTGAAATGAACTCCAAACGAACTTTGTTTTGGCATGATTTTGTTTAAAATTATGTCACGCCAGTTTGTTCTTTCGTTTTGCTTGAAATATATATTGGGGCGTTTACAATTAGGCTATCTGTCCCAACCACTGGGGGGGGAAATGCATGGCCGAGATCATTTCTGAGGCTGGTATGGTGCACTTCATATCATTTAGTCTACATACTACAGCTGTAAATTGTTATTAAGCTATATAATGATATACAGTACATTTCAAGAAAAGTGTGGGTGATTGACAGAATAGCACAACAGCTTTACTCCTGTACAAAGCTTTCATCAGCTACAGGCAAGTTTAATGTTCTAGTTCATTTGAAGGTCAGTGGTCTTTAAATATAATTCATTTTATGAAGTCCAAACTAAGTCAGCTCTTTGCATATCAATATTTGTATATCAATATAATCAATATAACTTGTTTAGATGGCAAATTGTGACCGTTATTGTCTGCATTTGTGCTGGCTTTTTTTTTGTTGCCAATATTAACATCTTTGTTTCACTTATACATATTACACAGTTTACATATTATGTTGCACTGGAAATCCCCACAAAGCTTTCATGGTTAGAAGATTTTATTTCTACATTATTACAAAATATCTATACTTCTATAGCCATTATGTTTCTACGCATGAATGCATTTTCTTTTAGCACCTTGTATTTTTTTCTCTTTACAGAGTGGGTGAGGTTTTTCATTTTTTTTGTGTACTGTGGAAATAAACTACTAAAAATATTTTAATAACAGAAGAGCATGGATCCGTGTGGCTCATCACATCTCTGACACATTTCTGCCTTCTCCATTCAGACTGATCTTCAGAAATGACTGCATATCATTAATCACTCCTGTTACTTGAGAAACACTTGACAGAGCTCAAGTGGCCTCTTACATTAAACCATAAACCTCTTAATTGCTGATTACAAGACCATGAAAAAATGATGCATCAACAGTTTCCCAGCTTGTCTGAATGAGCAGAGTGAACTAGTATTCTTGCAAAATATGTTAGATAAGAAAAAAATAAGTTTAAAGCTTTCTTGCTGATAAACTAAACAGGTAATGATGTAAACGCATCAGAACCAGTAACAAAACAAAGCCTGTAGTTGATCACTACACTGACGGAAACCGTACATCTTCACGGACAAAATTTGAGGGACAACGAGACATCGGAAGCAACCCGGTCAAAATGACAGACATCCCGTCCATCCAATCACAAGGCGAGTTCTCCAACCTAATCTCCAATGCGAGGAGAGACGAAGGGCGGGACTTCCGGTCGGTGACGCAGTTGGCGAAGTGGAAGCCCCGCCGTCAATCAAATTAGGAAAAAAACAAACTGGACTAAAGCGAGCGCAGGCACCGATTAAAATAACCATGCTCGGAGTGTAATTAAACGCAGATATCAGTCTTCGTTAAAGAACTCACGTAATGACCGGTACGTAACATTTGAAGAGCGCGGGAACGGTCGCTTTGAAGCTTTGTGCAGGCTATGTTTATGCTAAGCTAGGCTAATGTTAGCAGGCGGGTGAATCTGAGAGACTTTAAGATCCGCGGAAGAAAGAAATACAGAGCTCAAATCATCCATAAAGCGACACAACGCTTCTGTTATAGCCGATGAAGCCACCTATGCAGCGAGCGCGCCGAGTGACGGGCTCTAACGGCTGTTTTGTGTTGTTGTGTGTGTGTTTAAGCGCCTGAAGGGCCAGTGAAAGCGGGAGTCATGGCGGACAGCAGCAGCGCTCAGGACGGCGGCGGCGCGGAGCAGGTAAACCGGATCAAATCCACACCTCTGTATATTCTCTAATGCATGTGCTTTGGTGAAGTTTTCACTTTGTTCTGTTAAAACACTGGTACTTCCTGTGTGGCCACCCCCTTTCATGTGTTAAACCCGCCCATCGTCAGGACGGACAGCCCTCGTCGCTCGCCCTGCTCGCCGCCACTTGCACCGGCCTCGGTTCGCCCGCCCCCGGAGCAGAGCACGGGGCAAACTACAATAATGCTGCTGCTGGAGGGGTAAGTCAGCAGCTACCGATCTCACCTTTATTAGACCTTACTGTGGATCGAGTGTGAGCCCGGCCGTGTTTACTTTGAACGGCTGGATGTTTACACCCCAAACTTAAGGGGCATTATTAATATACGTGGAAGCTCAGATCTGGCTTAGTCTAAATAAATTCTGTAAATTAGAGTCTGGTTCACAGTGCAGCTTATTCTTAACAGGAACTGTTCAAATAGACAGGAAGACACATTTGTGTTTTAGTTGCTTATTAAGACCAGCATGGAAAAAGTCAAAGAATGGATAATTTATTTAGTCATTTAGCAGACGCTTTTATCCAAAGCGACTTACAAATGAGGACAACAGAAGCAATCAGTTGTAGTATTAAAACAACTAAAAACAGGTCCAAAACTAAAAGCTAAAACTTTATAAATTCTACCTATACACATTTTAAAAATAAAGAGATTAAATAAAAATGACAAATGCATACAACAACATTTCAAAACTTAACATTTAAATGAAAAACAAAAAATAAAGCTAAAAACAATTCAAAATATTAAAGAACAAAAGGTATAAGAGTATAATAATGATTCTAACATAACACTAAGCCACACACCAAAAAACAACTACATATGTGTGTATGTACAACCACACACACACACACACACACACACATACTGAATTGTAAAAAAAATAATAATAATACTACTAATAATAAACTTATTACAGAAGGTGTTTGTCAAGCTTTTTCTGAAAATGAACTCCTGAAATGAACTCCAAACGAACTTTGTTTTGGCATGATTTTGTTTAAAATTATGTCACGCCAGTTTGTTCTTTCGTTTTGCTTGAAATATATATTGGGGCGTTTACAATTAGGCTATCTGTCCCAACCACTGGGGGGGGAAATGCATGGCCGAGATCATTTCTGAGGCTGGTATGGTGCACTTCATATCATTTAGTCTACATACTACAGCTGTAAATTGTTATTAAGCTATATAATGATATACAGTACATTTCAAGAAAAGTGTGGGTGATTGACAGAATAGCACAACAGCTTTACTCCTGTACAAAGCTTTCATCAGCTACAGGCAAGTTTAATGTTCTAGTTCATTTGAAGGTCAGTGGTCTTTAAATATAATTCATTTTATGAAGTCCAAACTAAGTCAGCTCTTTGCATATCAATATTTGTATATCAATATAATCAATATAACTTGTTTAGATGGCAAATTGTGACCGTTATTGTCTGCATTTGTGCTGGCTTTTTTTTTGTTGCCAATATTAACATCTTTGTTTCACTTATACATATTACACAGTTTACATATTATGTTGCACTGGAAATCCCCACAAAGCTTTCATGGTTAGAAGATTTTATTTCTACATTATTACAAAATATCTATACTTCTATAGCCATTATGTTTCTACGCATGAATGCATTTTCTTTTAGCACCTTGTATTTTTTTCTCTTTACAGAGTGGGTGAGGTTTTTCATTTTTTTTGTGTACTGTGGAAATAAACTACTAAAAATATTTTAATAACAGAAGAGCATGGATCCGTGTGGCTCATCACATCTCTGACACATTTCTGCCTTCTCCATTCAGACTGATCTTCAGAAATGACTGCATATCATTAATCACTCCTGTTACTTGAGAAACACTTGACAGAGCTCAAGTGGCCTCTTACATTAAACCATAAACCTCTTAATTGCTGATTACAAGACCATGAAAAAATGATGCATCAACAGTTTCCCAGCTTGTCTGAATGAGCAGAGTGAACTAGTATTCTTGCAAAATATGTTAGATAAGAAAAAAATAAGTTTAAAGCTTTCTTGCTGATAAACTAAACAGGTAATGATGTAAACGCATCAGAACCAGTAACAAAACAAAGCCTGTAGTTGATCACTACACTGACGGAAACCGTACATCTTCACGGACAAAATTTGAGGGACAACGAGACATCGGAAGCAACCCGGTCAAAATGACAGACATCCCGTCCATCCAATCACAAGGCGAGTTCTCCAACCTAATCTCCAATGCGAGGAGAGACGAAGGGCGGGACTTCCGGTCGGTGACGCAGTTGGCGAAGTGGAAGCCCCGCCGTCAATCAAATTAGGAAAAAAACAAACTGGACTAAAGCGAGCGCAGGCACCGATTAAAATAACCATGCTCGGAGTGTAATTAAACGCAGATATCAGTCTTCGTTAAAGAACTCACGTAATGACCGGTACGTAACATTTGAAGAGCGCGGGAACGGTCGCTTTGAAGCTTTGTGCAGGCTATGTTTATGCTAAGCTAGGCTAATGTTAGCAGGCGGGTGAATCTGAGAGACTTTAAGATCCGCGGAAGAAAGAAATACAGAGCTCAAATCATCCATAAAGCGACACAACGCTTCTGTTATAGCCGATGAAGCCACCTATGCAGCGAGCGCGCCGAGTGACGGGCTCTAACGGCTGTTTTGTGTTGTTGTGTGTGTGTTTAAGCGCCTGAAGGGCCAGTGAAAGCGGGAGTCATGGCGGACAGCAGCAGCGCTCAGGACGGCGGCGGCGCGGAGCAGGTAAACCGGATCAAATCCACACCTCTGTATATTCTCTAATGCATGTGCTTTGGTGAAGTTTTCACTTTGTTCTGTTAAAACACTGGTACTTCCTGTGTGGCCACCCCCTTTCATGTGTTAAACCCGCCCATCGTCAGGACGGACAGCCCTCGTCGCTCGCCCTGCTCGCCGCCACTTGCACCGGCCTCGGTTCGCCCGCCCCCGGAGCAGAGCACGGGGCAAACTACAATAATGCTGCTGCTGGAGGGGTAAGTCAGCAGCTACCGATCTCACCTTTATTAGACCTTACTGTGGATCGAGTGTGAGCCCGGCCGTGTTTACTTTGAACGGCTGGATGTTTACACCCCAAACTTAAGGGGCATTATTAATATACGTGGAAGCTCAGATCTGGCTTAGTCTAAATAAATTCTGTAAATTAGAGTCTGGTTCACAGTGCAGCTTATTCTTAACAGGAACTGTTCAAATAGACAGGAAGACACATTTGTGTTTTAGTTGCTTATTAAGACCAGCATGGAAAAAGTCAAAGAATGGATAATTTATTTAGTCATTTAGCAGACGCTTTTATCCAAAGCGACTTACAAATGAGGACAACAGAAGCAATCAGTTGTAGTATTAAAACAACTAAAAACAGGTCCAAAACTAAAAGCTAAAACTTTATAAATTCTACCTATACACATTTTAAAAATAAAGAGATTAAATAAAAATGACAAATGCATACAACAACATTTCAAAACTTAACATTTAAATGAAAAACAAAAAATAAAGCTAAAAACAATTCAAAATATTAAAGAACAAAAGGTATAAGAGTATAATAATGATTCTAACATAACACTAAGCCACACACCAAAAAACAACTACATATGTGTGTATGTACAACCACACACATGGTTAGAAGATTTTATTTCTACATTATTACAAAATATCTATACTTCTATAGCCATTATGTTTCTACGCATGAATGCATTTTCTTTTAGCACCTTGTATTTTTTTCTCTTTACAGAGTGGGTGAGGTTTTTCATTTTTTTTGTGTACTGTGGAAATAAACTACTAAAAATATTTTAATAACAGAAGAGCATGGATCCGTGTGGCTCATCACATCTCTGACACATTTCTGCCTTCTCCATTCAGACTGATCTTCAGAAATGACTGCATATCATTAATCACTCCTGTTACTTGAGAAACACTTGACAGAGCTCAAGTGGCCTCTTACATTAAACCATAAACCTCTTAATTGCTGATTACAAGACCATGAAAAAATGATGCATCAACAGTTTCCCAGCTTGTCTGAATGAGCAGAGTGAACTAGTATTCTTGCAAAATATGTTAGATAAGAAAAAAATAAGTTTAAAGCTTTCTTGCTGATAAACTAAACAGGTAATGATGTAAACGCATCAGAACCAGTAACAAAACAAAGCCTGTAGTTGATCACTACACTGACGGAAACCGTACATCTTCACGGACAAAATTTGAGGGACAACGAGACATCGGAAGCAACCCGGTCAAAATGACAGACATCCCGTCCATCCAATCACAAGGCGAGTTCTCCAACCTAATCTCCAATGCGAGGAGAGACGAAGGGCGGGACTTCCGGTCGGTGACGCAGTTGGCGAAGTGGAAGCCCCGCCGTCAATCAAATTAGGAAAAAAACAAACTGGACTAAAGCGAGCGCAGGCACCGATTAAAATAACCATGCTCGGAGTGTAATTAAACGCAGATATCAGTCTTCGTTAAAGAACTCACGTAATGACCGGTACGTAACATTTGAAGAGCGCGGGAACGGTCGCTTTGAAGCTTTGTGCAGGCTATGTTTATGCTAAGCTAGGCTAATGTTAGCAGGCGGGTGAATCTGAGAGACTTTAAGATCCGCGGAAGAAAGAAATACAGAGCTCAAATCATCCATAAAGCGACACAACGCTTCTGTTATAGCCGATGAAGCCACCTATGCAGCGAGCGCGCCGAGTGACGGGCTCTAACGGCTGTTTTGTGTTGTTGTGTGTGTGTTTAAGCGCCTGAAGGGCCAGTGAAAGCGGGAGTCATGGCGGACAGCAGCAGCGCTCAGGACGGCGGCGGCGCGGAGCAGGTAAACCGGATCAAATCCACACCTCTGTATATTCTCTAATGCATGTGCTTTGGTGAAGTTTTCACTTTGTTCTGTTAAAACACTGGTACTTCCTGTGTGGCCACCCCCTTTCATGTGTTAAACCCGCCCATCGTCAGGACGGACAGCCCTCGTCGCTCGCCCTGCTCGCCGCCACTTGCACCGGCCTCGGTTCGCCCGCCCCCGGAGCAGAGCACGGGGCAAACTACAATAATGCTGCTGCTGGAGGGGTAAGTCAGCAGCTACCGATCTCACCTTTATTAGACCTTACTGTGGATCGAGTGTGAGCCCGGCCGTGTTTACTTTGAACGGCTGGATGTTTACACCCCAAACTTAAGGGGCATTATTAATATACGTGGAAGCTCGAAGCTCAGATAGTCTAAATAAATTCTGTAAATTAGAGTCTGGTTCACAGTGCAGCTTATTCTTAACAGGTAACAGGAAAATAGACAGGAAGACACATTTGTGTTTTAGTTGCTTATTAAGACCAGCATGGAAAAAGTCAAAGAATGGATAATTTATTTAGTCATTTAGCAGACGCTTTTATCCAAAGCGACTTACAAATGAGGACAACAGAAGCAATCAGTTGTAGTATTAAAACAACTAAAAACAGGTCCAAAACTAAAAGCTAAAACTTTATAAATTCTACCTATACACATTTTAAAAATAAAGAGATTAAATAAAAATGACAAATGCATACAACAACATTTCAAAACTTAACATTTAAATGAAAAACAAAAAATAAAGCTAAAAACAATTCAAAATATTAAAGAACAAAAGGTATAAGAGTATAATAATGATTCTAACATAACACTAAGCCACACACCAAAAAACAACTACATATGTGTGTATGTACAACCACACACAAAGAATAGTTCTGATGTGCAAAACAAGATTGTTGAGCTTCACAAAATAGAAAGTGGCAGTAAGAAAATATCTAATGTATTAAGAATTCCCATTTCAGCCATCAGGGCAATAACCAAGAATTTTCAATTAACAGAAAATGGTACAAATCTGCCTGGAAGAGGACGTGTGTCTATATCATGCTAATGCACGGTGAAGAGGAGAGTCTAGTAAAAGACTCCCCAAGGATCACAGCTGAAGAACTGCAGAAAATAGTTGAGTCTAAAAAATATATCAAACAAACCCTACATCACCACATGTTGTTTTGGAGGGTTTCAAGAAAAAAAAAATCAAGAAAAGAAAACACTCTCATCCAAAAACAAACTCCAGCATATTCATTTGCCAGACTATACTGGAACTTCAAACGGGACTGGTTTCTATGGTCAGATGAAACTAAAACAGCTTTTTGGCAGCAAACACTCAAGATGGGTTTGGTGCACATGCACAGAGATAAAAAGTACCCCATGCATACAATGTAAATATACTGCTGCATCTTTTTATGTTGTGGGCCTATTTTTCTCCGGCAGGTTCATCTTGTTCAGATGCATGGCTTCATGGATTCTATCAAATAGCAACAGATAAAAAATCGAAATCTGACTGCCCCTGCTAGAAATCTTATAACGGGCAGTGGCTGGATCTTCCATCAGGACTACAATCCAAAGAAGAAATAAAAAATATATAAAAATAAAAATCAACAGCACAAAACGAAGCTTCTGGCCTGAACCCTATAGAAAATGAGTGGGTTGAACTGAAGATGCGAGTGCATGAACATGGACCTCAGAATTGGAAAGATCTGGGGAGATTCTGTATAGAAATATGGTCTCTGATCTCTTGTCATATGTTCTCTAAACTCATCAGGCATTATAGGAGAGAATCATAGCTGTTTTCTTGGCAAATAGAGGTTTCAAGATAGTATTGAACATAAGGGTGTCAATAATTGTGGCCAACGTGTATTTGAGATTGCTTTTTCAATTGTTTTAAGTGAAAGGTTAGGTTTTTGTGATTTCTTTAAATAAAAGATCAAAATGATTAACAATGCAGACACAGACTTATTTGTTAATATTTACCAAGGGTGTCAATAATTCTGGCCATATATATAAATACATATACATACATACACACACACACACACACACACACACACATACTGAATTGTAAAAAAAATAATAATAATACTACTAATAATAAACTTATTACAGAAGGTGTTTGTCAAGCTTTTTCTGAAAATGAACTCCTGAAATGAACTCCAAACGAACTTTGTTTTGGCATGATTTTGTTTAAAATTATGTCACGCCAGTTTGTTCTTTCGTTTTGCTTGAAATATATATTGGGGCGTTTACAATTAGGCTATCTGTCCCAACCACTGGGGGGGGAAATGCATGGCCGAGATCATTTCTGAGGCTGGTATGGTGCACTTCATATCATTTAGTCTACATACTACAGCTGTAAATTGTTATTAAGCTATATAATGATATACAGTACATTTCAAGAAAAGTGTGGGTGATTGACAGAATAGCACAACAGCTTTACTCCTGTACAAAGCTTTCATCAGCTACAGGCAAGTTTAATGTTCTAGTTCATTTGAAGGTCAGTGGTCTTTAAATATAATTCATTTTATGAAGTCCAAACTAAGTCAGCTCTTTGCATATCAATATTTGTATATCAATATAATCAATATAACTTGTTTAGATGGCAAATTGTGACCGTTATTGTCTGCATTTGTGCTGGCTTTTTTTTTGTTGCCAATATTAACATCTTTGTTTCACTTATACATATTACACAGTTTACATATTATGTTGCACTGGAAATCCCCACAAAGCTTTCATGGTTAGAAGATTTTATTTCTACATTATTACAAAATATCTATACTTCTATAGCCATTATGTTTCTACGCATGAATGCATTTTCTTTTAGCACCTTGTATTTTTTTCTCTTTACAGAGTGGGTGAGGTTTTTCATTTTTTTTGTGTACTGTGGAAATAAACTACTAAAAATATTTTAATAACAGAAGAGCATGGATCCGTGTGGCTCATCACATCTCTGACACATTTCTGCCTTCTCCATTCAGACTGATCTTCAGAAATGACTGCATATCATTAATCACTCCTGTTACTTGAGAAACACTTGACAGAGCTCAAGTGGCCTCTTACATTAAACCATAAACCTCTTAATTGCTGATTACAAGACCATGAAAAAATGATGCATCAACAGTTTCCCAGCTTGTCTGAATGAGCAGAGTGAACTAGTATTCTTGCAAAATATGTTAGATAAGAAAAAAATAAGTTTAAAGCTTTCTTGCTGATAAACTAAACAGGTAATGATGTAAACGCATCAGAACCAGTAACAAAACAAAGCCTGTAGTTGATCACTACACTGACGGAAACCGTACATCTTCACGGACAAAATTTGAGGGACAACGAGACATCGGAAGCAACCCGGTCAAAATGACAGACATCCCGTCCATCCAATCACAAGGCGAGTTCTCCAACCTAATCTCCAATGCGAGGAGAGACGAAGGGCGGGACTTCCGGTCGGTGACGCAGTTGGCGAAGTGGAAGCCCCGCCGTCAATCAAATTAGGAAAAAAACAAACTGGACTAAAGCGAGCGCAGGCACCGATTAAAATAACCATGCTCGGAGTGTAATTAAACGCAGATATCAGTCTTCGTTAAAGAACTCACGTAATGACCGGTACGTAACATTTGAAGAGCGCGGGAACGGTCGCTTTGAAGCTTTGTGCAGGCTATGTTTATGCTAAGCTAGGCTAATGTTAGCAGGCGGGTGAATCTGAGAGACTTTAAGATCCGCGGAAGAAAGAAATACAGAGCTCAAATCATCCATAAAGCGACACAACGCTTCTGTTATAGCCGATGAAGCCACCTATGCAGCGAGCGCGCCGAGTGACGGGCTCTAACGGCTGTTTTGTGTTGTTGTGTGTGTGTTTAAGCGCCTGAAGGGCCAGTGAAAGCGGGAGTCATGGCGGACAGCAGCAGCGCTCAGGACGGCGGCGGCGCGGAGCAGGTAAACCGGATCAAATCCACACCTCTGTATATTCTCTAATGCATGTGCTTTGGTGAAGTTTTCACTTTGTTCTGTTAAAACACTGGTACTTCCTGTGTGGCCACCCCCTTTCATGTGTTAAACCCGCCCATCGTCAGGACGGACAGCCCTCGTCGCTCGCCCTGCTCGCCGCCACTTGCACCGGCCTCGGTTCGCCCGCCCCCGGAGCAGAGCACGGGGCAAACTACAATAATGCTGCTGCTGGAGGGGTAAGTCAGCAGCTACCGATCTCACCTTTATTAGACCTTACTGTGGATCGAGTGTGAGCCCGGCCGTGTTTACTTTGAACGGCTGGATGTTTACACCCCAAACTTAAGGGGCATTATTAATATACGTGGAAGCTCAGATCTGGCTTAGTCTAAATAAATTCTGTAAATTAGAGTCTGGTTCACAGTGCAGCTTATTCTTAACAGGAACTGTTCAAATAGACAGGAAGACACATTTGTGTTTTAGTTGCTTATTAAGACCAGCATGGAAAAAGTCAAAGAATGGATAATTTATTTAGTCATTTAGCAGACGCTTTTATCCAAAGCGACTTACAAATGAGGACAACAGAAGCAATCAGTTGTAGTATTAAAACAACTAAAAACAGGTCCAAAACTAAAAGCTAAAACTTTATAAATTCTACCTATACACATTTTAAAAATAAAGAGATTAAATAAAAATGACAAATGCATACAACAACATTTCAAAACTTAACATTTAAATGAAAAACAAAAAATAAAGCTAAAAACAATTCAAAATATTAAAGAACAAAAGGTATAAGAGTATAATAATGATTCTAACATAACACTAAGCCACACACCAAAAAACAACTACATATGTGTGTATGTACAACCACACA